GGCTGCCGGCGCCGGGAGGGCTTGTGGCGGTGCCACCGGTGTCCGTCCCCGGCTCTTTGCCCGGCGGACGTGCGGTGGATGGGAGGCGGCATGGGGGAGCGAAAGGGGGGGCCGGGGATTGCTGGCCAAACTAAAAACGTACCCCGAGCATTTTCATTTTTTACTGGGATACTTTGTAATTGCATTTCAGTTGTTCTGCATCTGTTTTGTTTGTTTGGTTTAAATGCGTTTGTTTAGCTATGCTACCGTTCGCTTTTCAGCCACTTAAATTGTTTGTTAGCCCTTGCTTGTAAAGTTATCATACGGCTAGAGGAAAATGCCCTTACAGAATTGCAGACGGGTTTTGAGGCCAAGATTGCCATCAAGCTTGACAGAAATTTGCAGAAATTGAAACATCTGTGTAGAGATATAATAAAAACGCTGAGTTAAGGAGTTTACCATTTATTTAAATGCTGTGTCTGCAGTGAGGCCCAATGTCAAATATACATGTGCCTACTGTGCTTGCATACGAAGTGGTTCATGTGCAGTACAGCTCCACAAAAAAATAATAAGGAATGATTTTTTTTTTAATACCACTGATAATATATATTGAGTGATATCAGTAGTAGTTTGGCTTTAAACATTGTGTTGCAAAGGCATATCTCTTCAAGACAAATCCGTATGTGTAAGGTCAGGACAAAAGGTTTTATTTACACCTAATGTAGTACTCCATTTGTTACTTCTAAACCTCCTAGTGTTAGATTCATTATTAACTGGCATCTTTGTTAGTGCCCATAAATAAATTCTGGTTGATATATAAATAATAAATACTTTTTTCCGCAGGATTTTTTATTCCAGCAAACAATGTTAAGAGTAAAGGATCCTAAGAAGTCACTAGATTTTTATACAAGAATTCTTGGAATGACGTGAGTAGAAGTTGCATGCCACAATACATTTGGGTTTTCCTACTGTTCTTCTGAGAAGCTTTTGTTATTTGGATGTAATTATACTAATTGGTCTCACTACATAAACAGTGGTGCCTGTCAGCTGATGCCCAGTTGGACAGTCTGGCAATCTGTGAGCACAACACAGTTAATGCCTAAACTGCAGATGAACTAATAATGGCCTTGACAAGAAACTTCTTTTCTTAAATACATCACTAATTATCAGTGTACAACTTGATTACTTTCTCCTTACTGAGCCTGCAGCTAACTGATAACTTTTATGACAGTGCTTACAATTGGGAGTTACTGCTGTGTTCTTAAACTGTGTCTGGTGCCAGTGCATTCCTGAGACTCAATCACTTTCAAAGTCAATATTTTTATTCCTTGGTGATATTTTAAAGGGGATAAACAAAGATCTTCTTGAGGAAATAAGGACAAGTAACGGAGTGGCATCCTCAAGATAGGAGCTTTTGTATTGGCTTTGAGATTCAGTTACTGATAGTTTCGCTTTTAAGCATACTTGTTACCTTTTTCTCGTAGGTTTATAGTGCGTTTCGGAGGGTTTGTATTTTTTAGTTCAAAATGCAGCTATTTTAAGATGTGGATTACAGTCGGAAAAAAAACTCAAACCAAACAACAACAATAATTGTTCCATGATGGAAGCACCTTGGTTTATTTGCAAGATACCTGATTACCTTTTTAAGTCACTATTTCAAAATATTTTTTTTTTTTTCCATTTAGACTGCTTCAAAAATTTGACTTTCCTCCTATGAAGTTCTCGCTCTATTTCCTGGGATATGAAGATAAAAATGATATTCCAAAAGACAAAACTGAGAGAACACCTTGGACCTTCTCTAGAAAAGCTACACTTGAACTGACACAGTAAGTATTAATATAATGGGAGATAACATTTAGCTAACAGTGATTAAACAGAAGTGGATGAGTGTAAATCCTGCTGGAGTGAATAAAAAATGTAGTCATTACTGTGGAAACATCTTCGCTGTTGTATAGCTTTAAAGTACAGCTGAGATCTTGGATACTTGGCAAGCTTAATCTTTCCCTTTTCAAAGCTCTTTCAAACTGTTGGGTGAACAGTGGTACATAAATACGAGATAATGCTTGCTGTGTTTTGAGTATGCATACTATTTGGGTAGGGAAGTCACAGAATTTAACCAGAAGGGTTATTAAGTCAAAACATACACTTCCCATAAAGGGGACAATTTGGTTAATGTTACTAATCATTGTAATTGTGTAGGAAGAACCTCCTAAATACCCCATGGTCTTGTTTAACTTCAGGACCACCTGCCCTCCCTGTTTGTTCCCCAGTGATGGCTAGATAAACTGACCCATGCAATGCAGCCTTCTCTCTAATCTGAATGAGACAGTCTGTTTCTGACTCATTCAGGTATAGAACCTGAATACTAGAGCTGTGAACATGACTGGATTAGGACTGGATCCCTAGGACCTGTGACCAGGGAAAATCTTGATAGTTTAATGAATGTAGCCAACAGCTGAAATTCTCTGGTTTCTTAGGAGAAAAAACTTAGCCTCCTGAGGAAACTGAACATTTAGGATTTGTTAATTTTGATGCTTTTCTCCAAGTGTAATAATTACTTCTTACAGCAACTGGGGTACTGAAAATGATGAAAATCAGGCTTACCACAATGGCAATTCAGATCCCCGAGGATTCGGTAGGTCTTTAGTTTTGTGTTTGTAGTTTTTAAGCTTTGGTTTACTGTGATTACATTTTTTCTCTTGTGCATTGGGGAAAAATGGAGCTTCAAATGTTTTTTAGAATTACATAAATTCTATGCATGCTGTAGCTTTTTTTTTTTTTTTTTTTTTTCCCCATATGAGACCTGTAGAGAAAATATTGTAAGCTTGTATGGATGAAAAGACTTCTAGTAGGTTACTTCAAAGAAAACATACTAGCACTAGGGAAGAAGGGGAGTCGCATGTCACCCTTTATCTCTCTTCTTCCAGCATGTATGCTGTGAAAGACTGTGAAAATGGATAAATGTGTTTCAGAGTAATGAGCCACAGTTACGCTTTTTACAAAGAATCTAATCCTTTGGCAAGCAAACGCATGCTAATAGTAACTACAAAATGAAGAACAGTGATTGCTCTTGTCTGTCAGAGTATCATGGTGCTTACACTGATTTACATTTGGATTTCTATTTTATAATCCACTGGTTACCCATTTTAATCTGGAAGGAGAATTCCATTTGCTTGTAGCACTAAGAATAGTATTTGTGTGGCTCAATTTGATATTTCGAGTGCTTGAAAGGTCACTGGCTTGTGAAATAAGTTTGGTACTCCATCTAGCCACTTGATATTTAAAGCTTCTGAATTGATTTGTAAGCTCAGGCCTTGCATAGTGCTTCATAAATACATCATTATAGATAGACTCCTTGTACTGTTGAACTAAACAAATGCAACAAAATCCTGTTATGTGGTCATGCTTTGGGAAAGGAAATGCAGATAAACCAGTGATTGAGAACCTTATTTTTTGCTACTCTAGATAATATTCTCATCTATACAATATGAGATACTTGAACTCTATAAAGTTTCTATTTTAAAAGGCATTATCAAAAAGACAATTTTCTGAAGCATAATGTTAATACCCTAAATGCTCTTTTTTCTGGAAGCAGTGTTTTTCTTCTATATCCTGTGTGAACTACAGCAGGTAAACTTTTTGTAGAAGGTGAAACGCTGAGCAAACTTTTTCCTGGAACATGTAGCAACATTACAGTGAACAACTCTCTTTTTTATCTTGTTGCACAGGACATATTGGAATTGCTGTTCCTGATGTCAATAAAGCTTGTAAGAGGTTCGAAGAACTAGGAGTGAAATTTGTGAAGAAACCAGATGATGGTAAGTCTTTATTGGAAATACAAGTAATTTTTTTTTCCTTTGTTTTTAATATATTGTCTAGATGATCTTCCTGGAAAACCGGGTAATATATTTCCAGTTGTTGTCACTCTTGTAAGGTGCTAGAACAAGTTATCCCAGCACCCTCTTACACACTGGGCAAAACTGACAATAGATCCATCTTGGTAAGAATAGTGATCGGTATAGCGGTGTGCCTTTTGCATCTAGTCTGACCTTCAGTAAAATTCATGTGCTCTGTTGATAGTTTATACTTCTGCCTAGAGTTACTACAGAATTTACCATGGACCAGATTCACAAATCGCGTCTGTTTGGTTCTTATGTGCAAATGACTTGGAAGATGTAATTACTCCCACCCATTAAAACTGAGCAATTCTTGACTTTTCTGGCGTTTTATTTAAAGCCTTTTATCAGCTATTAGAATTCTAACTGTTCTGTCAGCTATGGTATAAATAGCCTCATTAGGCTGTATCATCTTTGACTTGTACAACTTTTAGTAAAAAATGCATAATGTTTAGCTCAAGTGTCTCGAGAGTACATAAACAACGTCTATTTCAGAATAGCCTAAGATGCAGAAATTAGTAGTGAGAAGTCTTGCATTTTTCAACTGGGTTCTCCTTCGTGAAGAGACCTTATGAGGGTTTTAGGGCTGATGCATTCTGAAAGGGACATCTAATGCTTAGCAGCATGCATAAATTTTAAATACTTTCTGGCTATAGAAACTAGACATTTGCCTGTAGTAAAGGTGGATTGTGATGGGTTTTGTTTGTTTTGGTTTGGTTTTGTTTCATTTGGTTTGGTTTTGTTTGTTTTTCTTATAGATTGAAAGTAGCATTAATACATGAAGCTTCAGTTCTCATGTATTGGAATTGATCTAGATTTCTTGCTAGAGGAGTAAGAACAAGTAAAGCGATTTTAATCTTATTCACTGTGTTCTCAGCTGAAGCAACTGTTACAAGCATAGCTGAAAACTTAACTTGAATACAGATTTCTTGATATAAGAATTGAACTTCCTATCACCAGCATTTTAAAGTTTCTGAGCCCTTTGTAATTTCTTCAGCACCTGTTGAACCCTGGGAAAGTTGATGTGAAAGATCCTGACTTGATTCTGTATCTCTGAACAGCTCTAAGTATGTAGGAGGGGAAGCTCAGACTGTGAATGGAATAAATCACAGGAAATAACTCTTAAAGCAGTTGGTGGGGTGGGGGGAGAGCAAAAGCTGTGTTTTAACATGAAGAAATAAAATCGAAGCAGCAAATGCCCAGGAGAGGGAAGAAGTTTTGGAATTCACATTCATTGTTTGTGGAGCAGGTTAAGAGACCTAATGTTAATTTTTCCCAATATTACTGAATCAAACATCTACTGTTCTCAGAAGTTTTTGTAGTTAGAATGTATTGAGAGTTAGATTGGTTCTGTTAGAGTAAATAGCCTAATAGAGCAAGCATAATTGAAAGTGTGTGGTTAACGCTTTAAGATAACATCTTAAGCTGTACTATCCTGATCTACTGTTGAAGAACAACTTTTGGGGACCCTGTTTTAATGCATGATATTTTTTCCAAACAGTGAAATCTAAAGCGTTCCTGCCCTGCATTTCTCTGTTTTATGAAGTGATGTAAATGTGTACTGTAAGCCACATCGGGCAGCCGGGGGGGAACGAACAAAACCCAGTAACATAGAAATTCAGTGTGAATGTAGGGATGATGGGAGTTGAACAGGGCAGAGGAACACAGGATTTTATACTGGTAAAGCCAGTTCAAGAAAATCGCGTCAAAACATCCTGGAGAACATGCTATTTAGAGGACAAATACTTACAAGGACATATGCAGAAAACCAATCAACAAAAGATAGAATTTCAAAGTGACTTTAAATTACAGCTTTGTGGAGAGTAAGATTGACAGTTTAGCATACAAAGATCTAATGCTGATTAAAAACTGATCTGGATGATTTCAGACTTAGCTGTCTAAATTTGAACTAATTCTTAAGCAAAAGGGGAAAAAAAGGAAGTATCTTTTTCAAAGTAGTCATATTTGACATTAAGAACTAGTCATGTAGTGTTAACTTCATCTTGCCTTTTTTCTTTTCCCCCTAATAGGTAAAATGAAAGGACTTGCATTTGTTCAGGATCCTGATGGCTACTGGATTGAAATTTTGAATCCTAATCACATGGTGACTCTCACTTAGTTCTAATGAAGTGTATTATGTGAGACGCTCGCTTTCAGTCCCCTGGAGAAAATCTGTAACAGTGTTTATGAAATTCTCACTTAATGGAGAGGAATCAGTTGTATTCAGAATCTCCTTAAAACTATCCCCTGGGACTTTGCTGTACTTGGATTCTTTTCTTCCCGTCCTGTGATGCCACTGCAGTTTGTTCCCGATTAGGAATACTCAATCATTTTTTGGAAAAGTTCTTACACAGATTCTCCTCTTGAACACTGATTGTGTTAATATTTCACTAAACCCTATCAAAAGATACATGACCAGAAATTCACTGGCTCTCACACTGTTTAAACTAGCAAAAAAGCAAATGCTGTGTTGCTACTGATAAGCTTCAACAAGGAAGAAAAAAAAATCCACCTTCAGAAATTTTTTTTTTTTTTTTTTTTTTAATCAAGTCAACAGATCCTGAAGGCTTCATGCACTATATTGTAGACTAGAAAATAAAACGTCAGACTAACTTTGACCTGAGTACTAGTACGTTTATGAAAGTTCTGATCTTGTATTATGCCAGGCAGAACTCTTTATGGAGCAGCCTGAAGCAGCCTTGCCTGGAACAAGAAACTTTGTGGTGGCGATAAATCAGTCCAGCAGGAAAAAATTCAGTCTTTCAGTTTCTGGCTGCTGCTTGACAGCCAAGATAAGAGGTATCATAGTTGCTAACTCACAGTGATCCTTGTCTCTTCCAATGCTAGACAGAACTTGCTCATAATTTTTATTTCAGCAAAGTCTGGGGCTATATTTAACTTAAATGCTGTGTACATTCTTCATTAGGAAACAAAAAAGGGTGTCTGAAAAAAGTTTCCTACCAGTAGTACCCTCTCAAAAGGACTGATGGTTACTGAAATGGTAGCTGTAAACAGTAGGAAAACATGTAACATTTACGTATGTTACACAAATTATTTGAATATACACTATTCCACCTGTTACGAACAATGTAAACCATGTCAGGTTTTGAAATCCTGTTCCTTCAAGAAAAAAAACACCTTTGCTCTATCTTACTGTGACTTGAATAGGTTATGTTAGGACTAATCAGCGGAATGGCATTGCAGTTCACTTCCAAATAAAGCACTGGTGCAAACTACAAAATCACCTTAAAGCAGTATGACCTGTTGCTTTGCTAATTGTTGGAATCCTAGATAACTGAAAAGCTGTTTGGTTTGTTTTGTAGATACTTACTTAAGAAGAAATCTGGTGATAATAAATTGGGAGTATCATAGTGAAGGTAACTGACTTCATTAGCAGGATGCTTTATTAACTTAGTGGTAACGTGCAGAGTTAATAACGGTCATTAACTCTCTGGCTTATAAATTCAACCAGCAATGTAGAAAGTATTGCTAACATAGATGTTAATGGTAAGTCAATGCTGAGTGTTGCTGTCCTGTCTCATCTGGAAAATCCTTAATTCTGTCTGCCTCACCTTAACAAGATAGCATATACGAACTCGGTAATTTTAGAGCTCCACATGAGAAGTAATTCATAAAAGTTAATCAAAGATAATTTTGTTTACCCTTAGAAAATGAGTGAAATAGATTATATACTTCATAGGAGCCTTAGGTGTTGGAGTAAGGAACGTGAAAACTCTAAGTGAAGTTGTCTAAAATTGAGTTTTATTTCAGTCAGTACGGATGTGTCATGTAAAGCTTTATGACCAAGGTGTTGGCAAGGAAAATCTCAGATTTTCACAAGCATTTAACTTGCTGATTCTTTTTTTAACATAGTGTTCCATTCAGACTTGTTTCACTACACTTAAAAGTACAGGTGTGACTGGAAAAACTATTGGCCCAATTGTATATAATCCAGTAATTAAAACCAGCATAAGTCTGTAAATCTGATGAGTAAGTCAAAGGGTGTGCATACATAGTTCAGTGGGTAACTACACAAGGGGAGGCAGGCTGTGCCAAAGGTTCCCAAATAAAAGCACTCCAAGCATGTTCTTGAATCTTGAAATGGTCCCTGCGTTTAAGTGCTTGGCTAAGCTTAGCCAGTGTGATAGATGATGAGGCAATAAAAAGGAAACTATTAAAAAAACACTGGCATCTACAAACTAATTACAGCAATATCATGAAGTGGGCAAGCTATGGGTTTAGGTGGGTTGGTGGTTTTTTTGCTTGTTTTAAAGTTAATGCTGCTTGCCATACTGAGAACAAATTAAACCCAGTACTGTCAGTTATGAAATCCAACAATAAACTAGTAAAGAAAAACAATTATTATTCGTTCAGCCTGCAACAGATGTTAAAGATTTTAAATGTAAAAACTTTTGAAGCTCTTCAATGTTCTCACTGATTACAGACAACGCTATTTTTACTTCATCCTAGGTCACAACTTCTTTTCTGCCAAATAAAGTGTAGAATTATATAGCATGTAGCGCTTTGCCACTTGGATGGCCTAAATTTAGTGATGTGCACTAGAAATTAATCTAATGGTCACATAGAGAGAAGTCCATGTTCTCCTTACAGCCACTAAGAGGTTCCATTACTCAGGACAGCAGAACACCTAACGTCTGTCAAGAGCCGGGCAAGCACCCCGCTACGCTTAACTAAACGAAACGTGAGTTTCGAATGTAGCCGAGCAACAGCAGGTGGGACTGCGGGGAAGGTTAAGCATCAGTTGCTACCTGGGAAGGGCTCGGTACTTTGGCACCGAACAGAGGGCTAAAGCCGCCCGGCAGACCGGCTGTTGCCCGAGGCACGGGTGCGGCCATGACAGCCCCCGGCAGCCTCGCGGGCGCACCGCAACTTCACCCCTCGCGCCGAGAC